TGGCCGATACCAGCAAATATTTCAAGCAAGCCGTCGAATTGGTGTATGTGAGCAAGTATAGGAAAAGATTGGTCCTCATCGGTCAAATTGAAAGATTGCATGGTCATCCATATATTAACAAATATTTAGGTATAATTCAACTCGTGAATTTATCAAGTGCACTAAGGTTTCTGCGTTGTTTTGGACACTTGATGACCCAACTGAATATTGGGTACAATTTAAACCACCGGGATAAAATAGAACGATACGTAAATGAATTCTGCAGCAATTCATTGGATTATATTGGATTAATGAGGGCTCAAAAAGAAGCAATGGACGAACACCTCACAAAACCATTCTCGAAAGTCAGGTCTCTTAGATTCATATACTGCAATTTGAACAGCAAATTAGTTGACTTCAACAAGTGGTTTCCACAGATGCGATACTTGGAGATTACCGTTAAATGCACCGCTGAAAATCCAAACTGCATCGAGAAGAATTTTCCGAATTTGAAACACTTGAAAATCGATGGCATTAACAAATGTAACGAAAACGTTTTCTTCAGCCGTTCAAATATTGCCGAGGTTATTCGCTTAAATCCACAATTACGAAGCTTGAAAATTGACGGTGACATGATTGATGCAGTTTTTATACAGAGTATTAGTCAACACTTGCAGCGGGTAGTGAGTTTGAGTATTAGGTGCAATGAATTTTCCGATCTCAGCGATGGCAGTGTGATTCACTTCAAAAATTTAGAAAACTTTACCTTGAGTGGTTATATTTCGTTCGATACTGTGCCGAGAATATCACTTTCATCTGATCGACTAAAGGCGTTGACAATGGACTTATATCGTGGTAAAATAAATAAGAACATTTTGAATTTCATCAGACAACATCGTTCAACATTAACGAGACTAAAAATACATGGATTATTCACTCCGAATGTCTTCGGAAATGTAAACGAAATGGAATTCGCTGATGTAATGGAACAGCTGATAGAGATTGACTTGAATTATTGTGACCATTCTGTAGATGAAGCAATTGCCCTACTGCACAAATGCAAAAGGATCAAACATCTCAGAAAACTTTCTTTCACACTTAATCCTCCCTCAGAATACGAGAATCTGTTGGCTCGTGTTGGTAAGAAGTGGCGAGTGTCACCATTGGGCTTTATGAATCGTATTACACTTGAGAGTATTTAATTCGAACACATTTGAATCGAATAACTTCAATATTAATATACCAAAACCAACTCCCACAAACATGCCGTTGTTTAATTTTAGAACGAAAATCGTCAGTCAGAAAATGCTGCATCATTGACCATACGGAATATGCAAATCGAATATTTTAGTTTGTTTCACTATTCTAAAAGTGAATTTATGTCGATGTCTTATGTATATAAATCTTGACTGGAATACTGGAATAAAATAAAATCAAAATAAGAATAAAACGTATTACATTGAATCATTCTTTATCTTTTTAATTCGAATTTTAATTTAAAATTTCTTATGAAAAAATAAGGGAATGAATGCAAGTGTGCGTTGCAAGTATACGGTTGCTTAAGGCTCGTTTTTTGTCTTTGAGTTCAATCCAAAATTTAATTTTTTTCAAATTAGGTTTTATTTCGAAAATCAGCTTTTTTTCTTCCATTTTATTGTTTTTTTTTCTTCTTTCACGTATGATTAAAATCCGGTTTTCCTTCCAAACTGATACAATTTTGTTTGATTTATAAGAATTAGTTGTTAATTTGATTTACTTTTCATTATATTCGTCCAATTGTTATTTCGAGATGAAAGTTGAAGCTAAACGTTGGTCAATAGCAGCTGGGTCGTTCACTCCTTCAATCCATGCACTTTAGCGATGTGTCGATTGATATTTCTCTTTTGCGTAGAACGCACTTTGCAAACCATGCACTGGAACGGGTTTTCCCTAGTGTGATGAGTTTGAATGTGCCGTTTTAGATTTGTTGTGCTCCCCAAATAAGTTTGACATACGTAGCATTGATATTAACGGCGTATGCAAACCACTTCGTGTGTTCTTTTCTCGTCTTCTTGTTGAAATCCATGACGACACTTCAAACATTGGAATGGGAATCGATCGCGATGTGTTACCAAATGTTGGTTCAGATTACTTTCCCCTGCAAAGACCATTTTACATATCCGATTCAACTCTTCCTTTAATCGTCAATGTATTGCCGCCTTTTTTGAATCCACATTTTATGCTTTCGTTGAACACAGAAAACTGGACTTCATGTTCATTTACATCTTAATCCATCGGAATATTAGCATTTCATCAATTACTAAGCGTATTCCACGATTCGATAAGATGATATTAACAAAAAACACTTGTTTCAATTGAAATTAAATGACTGACATATCTATTTCGGTATATTTGTTCAAAGCAGATGTTTTCTAATTCAATGGCACTTTTTCTCCACCGACTCAAATTATTATTCAAATGTTTAGATTGAAGTAAACTGATATCTTTGACCAGAGTCTCCTTCGATTTAAAAAATGACTATTTAAATATCCGCGTTACAAGTTTTCTATAAAATTACGGCGTTTCTTTCGAATAGATTTAGTTCGAGTTTTAAAATTGATAGTGATTATAGTAAAAGGGTTGCACCAAATCAATGTTTCTCAATAAATTAGAATTGAGAAAGCGCATTTAGACGTACAAATTGAAGAAGGAATGATAAAGTTGAGAAACAACTAAAAAGTTGAGTAAAGTCTATAAGAATAGTGTGAAATCGTAAATTTAGTCAGAACTGAAGAAAAAAAAAGAACAAAACGATGAAGTTCACCGTCATTTTGTTTGGAGTACTTGCATGTGGAATTCTCGCAAAGGCGAACTCAAACTTTGTGGAAAGTTTACACTTGGCACCGATAAAATTCCCAAATGATCCACCAAAGACAACGACTATAAGCCCAACTAAAACTACAGCTACAACCACAATAACAGCCAAACCAGCTTATTCTGGACTGAATCCAATTAAATTTCCGCAATGAATCGATTCAGTTGAAGATTTGTGATTTTGAGTTTGATTCGGATTTCAATGTTCATCACTCAAATATTTAATATTTTATTGCGATTCCGAGACATTTTATTATCTTTCCAATATTTGTACAATAAATTATATCACAACAAATTTGTACAAGCATAATAATTTATTCCAGTTACAGAGTCGATGTTTGTACGGTAGTTTAGGTTAATAAATGTATTTAAAGCAAATTTGTGTGTATTTTCTTTCCATTTGAACACATTTAGGTCATTTTCCGATTGGGTTATGCCAAATTCATCGTTCCACAGGCGCTATTTCAGAGGAGAACAATTGAGGAATTACGTTCTTTGAAAACGACGAAAGTCATTCGATGACAGCGACACACCTTTAATTTCTTTTAATCCCATTTACTACCAAACTTTTGGAACAATATCTTGTTTGGAAAATGAAACGATTGGTACAAAATGAGTTGATTCTCAGTTTCTCGATAGAATGAAAAGAAAAATAATTTGTTTGAAATTTTGGCTTCAATTTGAAAACATAATTTGATGGATCTAATTGTAGCGACTATTTCAAGAGTTTCAAGGGATAGGGATCGATGATGAACTTGCATGGAACAGGAGTACTTTGAATAAATACATATGACACCGATCGATCCAAAATCAGTTTGCTGACAAAATGACTCTTTTCGATGGAAATTTTTCATAGGAAGTTAAAGTTTCCAACAGACTTTTTCATTTGAATTGAAAAAAAAACATTGATTGTAAAAAACGTCTTTGAATTCGATCGTGTTCATCTGTGCGTGGGCAAATATGTATGAAAATTGTCGTGTAAACGAGATTCCTGTATATTCGTTACATCACAACGCCATTCATAACGTACAAATCTTACGAAGATCTAGATGGCGCTGTTGACGTTTTAAAGAAAAATTAAAAAATGACAAATACAATATAACACTTGTCAACCATATTTGTTTATTTGCGAGTTTGTTTAAAGCAGATGTTTTTTTTTCACTTCAAGAGAATTGTTTCAATGATACTTCTTCTTCCGATCAAATAATTGTTCAATTGTGTTTGTCGATGTGAGCAAATCGATGACTAGAATTATAGAATTTTTTTCGTATTCCAAGAAGTCTGTTCAAATATCCGGGCTGGGTAGTTTCTATAAAATTAAGATGTCTCTTCAATACACATTCATTTCGAGTTTCGGAGTTGAACGTATGTTTTTGTCTTTGTTCAAGTTATTGCATTGGATTAAAGTTGAACGAAGTTTTGCCATCTCCAAAATTAAAACATTCTACCGTCCAAATTGAAAATATCGACTTAAAATACAGGGAAAGAAGAAAACACAATTTAATCGGAAGGGAAATTTGCATCAACTGTGTTGAAAAATCACTAAAGTGACGTGAAAAATATCCAAGAATTTGTTGAAGATTCAGACAAAAAAATTCATTAAAATGAAAATCAGCATTATTTTGTTAGGAATACTGACTTTGGTTACAACGACAAAAGCAATAGTGACCTATCCAAATTTTGTGGAGAGCAAAAATTTAGCACCAGTAAAATTTCCGAATGACGTCAAACCAGTAAAAGTGCCTGTAGCCGTACCCGTTATTTACGTTCCATTTTATCCATTTACCTATCCGTATCCATTAAATCTTTGAATGTCACTTAGAATATCTAAGAGAATATGTGCATTTTTTTTATTGTTTCAGTAATAGTTGAAATGGGCTAGTAGTTAATGCATGTTAATTGAGTTCAATAAACTGTTTTTTAAGATGCTTTCGTCAGACTGGTTTTCATTTTTGGTTTTGAGTAGTTTTTAATGTTTTTGTCAACCGCACCTGCAGTCGCCAACTTTGATAGAAATGTTTGTTTTAAGTTATTTTACGTTGATACATTCTTGGATAAAAAAAATTTCTGACGAGACGAGAACGTAGTTTATTTCGACTTTTCAGATCACCTTTTAAGATTGCCATTCTGACTTCATTTCTAAAACCGAACTTCAAAAGGATACTTACCTTTCCAGCAACAAATGATCGATCGATCCTCTTAGATTCGTATTCTCGGACATCACTTCGCCGCATCGTTTCTGCACCACTTCCAGTTGATTCTCCAATTTCTTGATGTCATCACGTGACTTCAGCAATTCTTCACTGTAAATTTGCTCCGTTGATTGAGACTCTTGAAGCGATTTTATTTCCTTTTCCAACTGAAAATGTTTCAACGATTTAAATGGCATCGATTGATTTATTAGTAAATTTAAAAAAAAAAAACGTCAAGCCGATGGGATTTTCTTCAATAAATACGTTGCCAAGCTGTATTTTTATTATTATTCTGTACCAAACAGCGTTTCTGAATGATGAAAAAAAATCTCCTCACCTTTTTGATGTGCCCATTCAATTCCCACAGCTGGATTTTCTTCTCTTTGGTCGCCGCTTCGATGTTTTCTTGTCGCTTCAAAAGAGCGCGAATTTTACGCTCCGTCTAAATGGGAACAAATGATAGACATGAATCCAAAACGAAAGAGAATTAGTGATGAATTTCACACACGGATGTTAACATGCATGTTATTAGATTTACTTTCAACTCCCGTTGTGCATGGGGACCGGTTGAGATCGCATCCAAACGCTCTTGAAGTTGCAATTTTTCTTTTTTCAACGTTTCGATGAGACGATCACGTTTCATTGCTGCATTCTTCTTTTCGCAAATGAACAGCATGCGGTCTTTATCCAGTTTTCGAAGCTGTTAAAAGGTGATGAAGTTGTTGGATTTTATGGATTTGAAAAAATATGAATGAAGAAAATTAACAGATGAATCTTCTTTTGGTCAAAATTACTCGATTTTTTAGGATAAAATCAATTCATAAGAAATGTTCGATCATATCTATCATATAATCAGTTTTCATTTGCCAATAAATTTGTTTTCATTTCAATCACACACTTCTGCCTACCGTTTTTTTGTCACTATGTATTTCTATGGGTGAGATTGAGAGTAGTGTATGTTTCATTGACTTTGTTACGAAAGAGAAGAGCAAGTTTCTGTCGACTTAAAAATGGTTAAAAGCGAGTATGTTCGTTTTTAGCGGGTCCTCGCGGTTTTTCACGATTTCCGCGGAACTGATAAGAGATAACAACTTGGTGTCTTCGGCAAAGGTTCTTGAGGTCTTCTATAACATTGCTGAAGTCAGTTATCTCTTATCTCTTATCAGTTCCGCGAAAAGCGCGAAAAATGATAAGAAAAAAAAGTTCTATATAAAATTTGCTTTTTTATGTGCGCGATTTGTGCGCAACTGATAAAAGATAAGAGATAACTGTCTTCAGCTTAGTTATAGAAGACCTCGAGTACTACAACTTTGCCGAAGACACCATGTTGTTATCTTTTATCAGTTGCGCGAAAACCATGAAGACCGCGGAGGCTAGACGGTACTACAACATACTTTAACGCCAACAGAATCATCAGAAAACATACTCGCCTTTTCAAAAATATAAATCGAAGAAAAAACATACTCCACTCTCAATCTCACCCATAGATTTGTTATCCATGAAGTTTTTATGCCTATTTTTGTTTCAGCTGACTTTAGCAAACACAGCTGCTGTACGACAACAACAGTTTTTTCAGACAAAATAGTACTTTTTTTGTTCAAGAAAATTCACGATCATTGTTCAAAATTGCCTAACCTGTTTCTGGAGACGTTCCAATTCCGCTTCGGCCATTTGATCAATTTCCAATTGCTCATTGGATGGTGTTGTTGACTTTGCCATTTTCGCTGGTTTAAAATGATTGCAGCAGCAAGATTAATTGTTACCTAAACGTTCTTTTCACTTTTCCACAAGCCTTTCTTGCCTCTTTTGTTACTTTATTCCAAAGTCTATTCTGTTATACGTTTTTCGAAATGGAATTTCTTTGTAAAATTCGAAGTCTTCTTTTCATTGGAACAATTTCAATGAAATTTCTTTGAAAACTTTCAAATTCTTGTCAATAAATTTCGTTTTTCACTCAATAAAAATGTTGAAATTACAAAAAATAACGTTTCTGATAAGATCCTTTGTTGGATCGATTTAAACCACAACAAAAACTCTTTTGAAAGACAATTTTCACAAAAAACACATTCATCAGCAATCGAACATTTATTTTAAATTCAAAGAATTCCTTGACAGAATTTCCTTTTGTAAACACTGTTCACCTCGTTTCCAAGCTTCGATTCAGCGTCATAGACAACAATGAACATGTTGAATCGATATTATTTCCAAGCGGTTGCCAGGCCGACTCTCTTTCGGAATTCAATGTACAAACACTTTCTACAGACGCTATTCTTGTAGGTTTACAGTGAAAATTACACACCACACAATTTACAGTGAAAATAGTTTTCATCCCGAAGAAAACAGACATTTTGAGTTTGCTTCTGTTTTTGGTCCAAAAGGTAGTTTGGATAAGTACATGGCCTTCCCTTTTTGAATTGTTTTGAATGACTACAGAAAAATGAGCTTCATACTCTCGAGAAAGAAGATGCCAAAAAATCAGATACTGAAAATTTTGTCAACGAATCGAGCAGATTCGAGAGATAGCTCTTATAAGACAGCTCTCGTCGACAGCCTTTCGATAAAATTTGATTGAATTTTCCATTCAAAGCGAATCAAAAATGAAAATGAGGACAGAATAATTGGTAAAAATTGTAGTTTTAGTAAGAAATAATAGAAGAAGGCAACTGTTTGACATAAAGTAATCAATTTCTGTCCATTTAATGGGCCTTTTGAAATGAATCCAAAATGGATTAAAAGAACTGAATTCTATTAATCCATAATTCTAATGAAAATATCTTCTTTTTTTTTCAATATTTTTCAAGAATTCAAATAAATTTAAAAACCGATTATAGACCGATCCTATTCCACGTCTCTCCTCTTCTAACGCTCTTCTATCTAAGAAGAAACCGCTCTTCTATCAAAACTCCCACTCTTTCGATTTAAAAAAAAAAGCGATTCCAAGAGTGATTCGCATCCGATTAAAAATACCGAAGCAAATTCCGTATAAAACCCGCTTGCATACAAAAGAATCGGTTAGGCATTTTATCGCATTGATCAAAATATCGCATCGTCAGTACAAGTACTTAACATTCCGCAAATACCGAAATCAGCGGCTCAAGTTTTCTAAACTCATCTTCATTTGTTCCGTTGCGGTCGAGAAAGTGCATTATCACCGGATCAATGATGTTGTTTACAATGTTTCGCATAAATATTCCGCTCACAACTCGCCTGTCGTTTGTAAAAACGGCACCGTCAAAATAAGAAGAAAAGTCCAGTTTAAATTGAAAGGGAAAATGCGGCACTACATTCAAATGGTCAATTGATTTTGTTGATAAAATGTAAAACGAGTCTCAAAGTACATGCTGCCTATTGCATTGTGTATTCATTGCTCGTATCTTCTTTCAATTGAGTGAACGTAGTACAATTTTTGATTGAGCATGGCAAACGATGGTTTAAAACAGAAACAAGAAACGAGCGAGAGAGAAAAAACTGAACGAAAAAATCGAAATTCCGCATTGTTTCGTTCGGTTTGTTGCGGCGGCGGCGGCGGTTCCAGTAGGCGCTATGCTGAAACACCGTTCACGAAAAGAAATTAGTTGTAAATTCACCAAGCTGCATCTCGTTCGCACAGCGTCGACCATCGCTCCATCTCTTTCCATCAACTAATACCGCACGTCATTACTGGTTTCAAGTTTTTTTTTTATTTATTACATTTCATTGTTTAGTTTTTGCTGTTTTTGCTTCGTTCCATTCTTCGCGCTATACAATCCATCGTGTGTGCGGATCGGCTGGTTCGATGCGTTTCACACACGTCCGAGCGAAGACAGTGAGGCAAAGTGTATTGCGGTAATTTGTATGGTGGGTTTGTGTTCGGTTCGTTGCGTTCACTTCAGTTAGTGTTCAGTTGGCAGCCGAGTGACAGCTGTTTTGTGCTCCGTACAAAAGTTTTTTTTTTCTTCGTGGATAAAACACACGGTTTGTTTCTTGTTTTATTACGTGTACGTTAGCGAAACACCGTCAGAAGTGTGTATATTTGGTTTTGGTGGACTGTTTTTTTTTTAATTTCGGACGAATTTTGATGTGTTGGTGATTTTTTTTTCTTTCTCTTCTCAAGAGCATGTGTTAATTCGGTGAATCCAATTTCCGATATCGCCAACAATATTGCCTACATTGGATTAATCGCTGAATCATCAACAAGTGTATCGATGGAAATACAGTGAATACGGTTCAAAAGTGATTGATTGAGACAGAGAAAAGTGCCTTGTTCCCGTTAGAATATTGATTGTGTCTTTGAACCAAGTGCATTGTTTGAGTTTTGGTTTCTGTCAAATTGTTTTTTTGTCTTTGCTGCGATTGACTTTTTTCGGGACAAAACCGAATTGACTAAGGAACCAAATTGACTAGCAAACAAAAATTGACTGAAAGAAATTGGCTGAACAAAAAATTGTCTAAACACCAAGAAGTGATCGACTTTCTCAAGACAAAAATTGTTTTGTGTACTTTTCTCAAACAAAAAGTGATCGACACACACACACACACACAATTAGTGAGACTGTGAATCATTGATTTTCAGTGAGCGACACACAAAGTGACTATTTCATTCAAATTGCAACAACGAAAGGTAACACAAATAAAACAACAAACACACACTCTGGACCAACAATTGCTTTTGTAAATAACAGCGCTTAATTTATGATTAATATCGCATGTCCATATTGGCTTTTGGTATCTTTTGCATCACATTCATGTAGTTTTCCAGCTAAACAATACAAAAACAAAAAACATTCGCTTTGGTTTTACCGTAAAAATGTCATCAGGTGACGGTGAATTGATGTACGATTCTAATGCGATAGTGTGTTGTTGTCATTGACAATCGGCAATCAATATCGAGAACGACGACAACGACGACAAACACATGGCTGTCGTGGTGCCGTGTCTATGGCCCACCTGTGCATGTGAGTGCAATCGAAACACCCTCACAAAAAATAACAACAACCGATGGAAAAATTCATAACGAAACACATTTTATAAACCATCTGCCAATTTATATCGCTGTTGTGAGACGTATTTGTTTACTTGTTTGTGTATTCACCGTGAACTACTGTCACTGTATTCTTTTTTTTTCGTGTGTTTATGCCTTGTCTATTTTATCGGGGAAAATATTTTTTGTTTTTTTCTGTTCTATCAAACGAGAGCGAAAAGTGTTTGTAGTGCACATTTTTCTGTAAACTGAGTTTTACTAAGTTGTCTTGTAACTTAACGCCCCAACACTTGCGATAAATTATTGACAGTGAATATTCGACGACACACTTTTTTTCGCCTCATTAGTGGAGATCGATTTTTTGAGCTGAAACGGTGAATTTACGACGCAATTTTGACACAAGTGTATTGAAAATTTCACTCTTTTGAAGCGATTCAACTGCTTTTGATCTTTGGAGAAAAAATTCCCTTCGATTTTGATCGGTCATTTTGAGGAATTGAAGTGCAGAGTGACATTTTTCCCATTGTCAAGTTGATAATAAACTCAAAGCATTGAAAATCGATATAAACTGCGGTTGAAATGAATAATTAAACTGTCGTTCCAATTGAAAATTGATAGAAATTCTTCAAAATATCGAAAATAAACTACAGAACTTACAGATAGCAATCAAATTTTGAAGGAAAACAATAAAAATCGAAGATAAAAACGTAAAAATTTGAAAGAAAACATTTTGACAAACTTGATAAAATTGGAAAAATACACCAAAAGTTTGTAGAAATTCATACAAAATCAACAAACAAGTGGTTCAGAACGAGACAATTTGCTCAAAAGCCAGCTGAGAAGGTCCATGCAAAATCATGAACATTTCCATAATAATACCTGAAAAACGTCGTAAAGTCGTCGGAAATCACAAATAAACCGTCGAAAATTACAAAAAAATTCATGAAAATTACAGAAAAAATTGTTGAACGTCAAAAAAATTGAAGAACAATAGTCGCTGGTCGTCACTAAATCAATGAAAAAAAAACTTCAAAATTCATTAAAAATCGTCGAATTTTGTCAAAAAGAATCGAAATTCTTTGAATTTTGTAGAACAAGTCGTTCGAGAGCCTACAAAATCCTTTTTGTAAAAGCTAAAAATCGTGAAAAAAAACTCAAAACACCCAAAAAAATTGTAAAAACTCCTCAACTGTCGTCGATTAGACACTCAACACAGCGCGACCAAAAAAAATGTCTCAAGTGTTGTTAGTTTAGTTTAAAAAATTTGGTGGTTTGTACTTAACTGTCCCTCATCATCGATTCATCGCTTAATCTATCGCTAGATAATACTAAGAAAACCAAAAGTTGTGTGCATAGTAAAAGAAAAAATGGCTAAAATGAAACCTACTTTAGAGGATTACATATTCGACATGGAGACGCGGCCACCGGACCATGGCACGCCAAACGATCAAGATCTGTGGACGCAATTGCAGAAAAAAGAGTCGGATTTACTGTTGGCCGCCGAGCTGGGCAAAGCGTTGCTCGAGAAAAACGAAGAGTTGGCCAAACAACAGGAGAAAATCATCGAAGAATATTCCAAGAAGCTTGAGGTGAGTGATCAAATACCATTTTCTATTTTGTTCTCGGCAATTAAAAACAAAATACGCAATAATAACAAAAATTGGAAATTCGAATTTAATGCGTTCATTCGCCTCAATTAGACAATTACACCATCGACGCGGCACGGTGTACAAAGCAGAAATTATCTGCTCGCCGTGTTCGGTCTGAATTTCATCATTCACTCGATCGAAGTGACTACTCTTTATGAAAAACAAACTACGGCTCATCATTCGTATTGCAATATGCGTGTGTCTGTCTCTCGGTTTTATCAAAGCGTTTTGTTCCACACACACACACAACTCGTATTCAGAAGCCAATTGGTTGGTGAATCGAGTCGAGAAATAATTTTTCGTTTTACCGTTGTTTTTGTTCGGTTGTTGCAGTTGCTTCGATCCAATTGACGTATTTCGCAAATGAAACCGTTTCGCCAAAATGTGTGTTTCGGGTTGCGGTTCAATTGGCTTCAAAGTGGCAAGGACTTCGTAGAACATCGGGTAAACAAGATGTTTGCGCGATTTCAATTGCAATTCATCAACGAAATATGCGACCCATATGTATATATATATATATATCTTATGACCCAATTTTTCAATACATTTTTGCTCCACTTTTCGCCACAATGAGTTGTCACCAAAAACTTTTTTTTTTGGAAACGCACTTCCGCTTTTTCGAGCATTGTAATTAGAATTCTTTCGGGCAATGTACGAATGGGAATAATAATTGTGGAAATTCCAGGTATGAAAAAAATCAATACTTTTTCATTTGCTTAACGTCATCGAGTTTACTCATCGCAAGCAACGCCACGATGACCTCGCTACCTTTTCGAATCGTAATCAAGGGCTAACACAGTAGAATTGTTCTCAATTGTGATTTTTCGATGTTGATATAGAGAAACTTCGAGCACGCACTATTTTAATCCATAGTATGTGGTGAGGAATCCATACACTATAGCACATTTGTTTGCTGTACAGTGTACAGCCGTGACAGCCACACATGCACCTAAACTAATCATATATTTCGGTTTGGAATTTTGTTTCATTCCACATGCAAACCACTTTTTCCACTTTATCGATTATTTTTTACGCCATTCAAACGATATGTTAAGCGTTTCATGCTAGAGGCACATAAAAATAAAAATTTATCTCTTTGATGTCGATTCGAATGTATTCTGTCTTTTGTGACACATCACCCAATGCACACGATTCGAACCGTTTGAAGGACATTTGATGAGTTTTTTTATTGACCGGTGCACGATTTTGTGACTTCATCCAACACAACGCTTGTCGGACACAGTTTTTATGGTTTTTCGTCAGCCGGCGAGACCGTTTGAACGACCGAAGCGAAGGCGCGACTTTTATTAACGGAAAATAATTTATAATCATGATTTTGAATAGAAATACACGATAATAAAAACTAATTTCTGATTTCCAATCGGTATGCATGACTTAATTGCAGCTCGAATGGGTAATATATTAAAAAATATGTTCGCACCCCAAACAAATCAGCGGAAAATTCATAATTATTCACCTAAAGCGCCTCAAACAGAGACAATTTCGATTTTAAAAATTAATTCAGTTCAATTGAACCAAAAATTGACGACTTCAGGTTGAATATGTTGGTTTTCAAGTCAAAAATGACGGTTTTTAAGGCAAATATGAATTAAAATTGAACATTTCTGTGTGAAAAAATTCATTTTTCTATGAAAATTCAGCAAATTTCAACGAAAAATGGAAATTTTCAAAATGAAAATGAAGTTTTTGAACTAAATTGTGGGAATTTTAAATGGAAAATTGATAAATTTATATGAAAAATTGAATGATATCAATGAAAAAAGAAGAGTTATAATGAATAATGAAAAAAATGCAGTAAAAAACTGAACGTTTGCCATAAAAATGGCATTTTTTCCATCGAAAAATTTACAAAATCCAACAAAAAGAAAGTATTTTCATCCAAAACCATATGCGCCGAACCAAAAATTGGTCTTTGGTCTTCAGAATGAGTTTTTGATTAAAAAACGTAGAAAAAGTTCAAATTTCGTTGAAGAAAAATATGGAGTTGCTCAATCAAGAAAGAAATTCGATGGTATTTTTCATGTTGTATGACAAAATATCTCAAAATCTATGTGTTCTTGTCCAAAAACCGCAATCACCACAAGCCTAACCTTCCAAATATGATATTTTCCAGCCCACAAACCGTTCGATTTGACGACGTTGGAGTTTTCGTAATCAAATTGTTCAATTCCTGTCAAAAAGTATCGCCGTCACAATATCACGTAATGTGATATAGGTATTGCTTACTAAACCATCAAATCGGAACGAGATACATGGAAAAAATGTTACGAAAATAATAAAAAAACCGATAATAAAATTTGAAATGAGTTATAAAATGGTGTTGGTACGGTTTGAAATCCGATTTACATGCTATAAATAAATACAGAAGCCAAATGCGCAGTGCTCTGTGTTCAATCTATTGAATAAACAGAGATCAATCTCAAGTTAAATATTTACACAAAAATTGGAGTGTGTATGCCGTTGGGCACATGGGCATTTGGTCAAAGTCATGACGTTAAAGTGAAACCGTAGATTAGCCAGTAATTGTTTTCTAACCGCTATCGATCCGATTTGAATTGGAAACAATCGGTTTCAAGGTTAAGTCGGTCTCAGCTCTCAAGTGGTATTTGTCGCTACCGCACCATTGTGCGGCGAAGATAATCGATGAGTCATTCGTCGAGTTGTCCGCACGTTTCGATGCAAAATATATGCAAATAAACAAAATTCAGCTCGATATTTCAATGTTTTGGTCATTTGACCATTGCCAACATCGATTACGAAAATTCCGTTCGATTTGCAGTACCAAGCTGCCCCGTTCATTACGCGATCAATTCCATTATGCAACTCCAAGAAATCAGCTTGCCACTCAAACAATTAATTGTCTGCGAATGGTTGTTACTGAGTTTTGCTGTTTGCAGATTTATTGGCCAAATTGATTGGCTGCATCGAATTCAGCGACGCCAAAAAAAAAGAAACGAAATCCATCAGTTAAGCAATCGATGAGCACATTTCACTAATTCAATTTTGATTTGACGAGCCGAGAAAACAATGACCTGGAAAATTGTGCAAATATTTTTTTTTTGTTGGAGGAAAAGAGTCTTTGTTTCAAAGACCAAAAAGTACCCAAAGTCAGCAAAAGACTTTTTTTCGTGATTTTCCATCAAATTTGGAAGCTATTTATAAGACTTTTCTTCCGATTGTGGGTTCCATTTGCCATTTTCTATGGTAAAACCGATTACATCTTTGATGACTTTATGACCTTATGATGATTTTCCGCATAATTTTTGAAACAGAAATTGAGCTGCTTCTGGCCGAAATTTGATTTTTTTGCAAAAAAATGCAACGATTTTGCTTCAAAAATGTACTTTCTCTGGTTTTCTGAATTAAGATCCATTGAAAATGTACTTTCTAAGGTAGAAACTGCAAACGAATTAACCTTTGAACCAATTTTTTTTTGTCAAGATGAATTCCACAGCACAAAATATCGATTAAATTACTTTCGATGAAATTTTTCGCTCAAAACACATCAACAATTCTTGCAAAAAGACTTTAGCTTGTAAACTCAATTCTTAACCAAAACAATAAGCGAATGAATTTTTCATTTATTCTATTGATTTTATTGGCGGACGATTTAAAATGTTAATGAAAACACGAATCGTGCGTTTTCGTATGAGTGTATGAGTTGGGCTATTAAATTCTATGTCAAAGTATTGAAATTGTTTATTCACATCGATTTCGTTGTAAAACGATTGTGATCACAATTTGATTCGTGGGCTAGGTCAATGCTATCTTCCTCTAATTAAATTGTAAGTGAGCAGTTTGTTGTAGCAGAATTGGCCTCAAACCAACTTCTGAATTGTTTCAAATTGAGACAAACGTCAAAGTGTCTCATGTTTCTATTTCTCGTCTCTATTTTATATTTGAAAAAAGTCTTAAATGCCTGAAAATATTCAATGGTATTATTGTTTGATTTTTCTTTGTGTCTTTGCTTCTGGCGTTGATACTTCTCTATGGGACGGTTGTATTGTATTCGATGTTCATGTATTGTTTCGATTTGTATGTATTTTTCATCTATTCAGTATTCTTCTAATTGGAATATATTCGTCAATCGTGTGTCGATCTGGTGTTGAATGGAGCATGCGACGTGGGATGAGTTCACAAAACTGGTTAAAAATTGAAATAAAACTGTTCAACAATCCGTAATATCTATCAATAGATCACACAGAACCGGTTAAAAATCTCTGCAAAAATGTGACTTTCGGAAGCAAAAATGAACAAAGAACGCAACAAGCCATAGAAAAATTGGGCTAAAAGGCAAATTCAGCTTATAAACTGATTTAAAAAAGGAGCGGATTGAGTGAGAAGAGGCAAGATCATGCAAAAATCTAGCAAATTTAAAAGCAATTCCAAGTAAATCGATAGCAGAAGAGATCAGAAGCATGTAAAATGACGTTGATTCGCCGAAATTTTTATCTTTTTAAAGACTCACTCTTCAGTTTTGGCTTCGAATCGGTTCTTTTTCTAGCAAGAAACGCTATTTTAATTGGCAAAAATGCTCTATCTCGTGATAAAATTGATGCTCTTTGCATATTTTTCACTCTTGAATGGTCTCCATTGTCGAAATACGTATGTTTTTGTGCCATAATGTGTTATTTTTTATGACTTTTCTTTGATCATAATCTTACCTGGTTAGTCAATCTCACGAGCTCCGAGAAAATCAATCAATTTTGAGGTGATGCCACAGTTTCTCAGTTAATCTCACAAAAACAGTGTTCGCACATTATCTTTTCCTCTCTAAAACTCGGTTCGCAGTTGCTAATCTCATCATAAAATCAGTTCGGCAAAGAATAAAATGTGCATAGAATGTCAATTTGTGTGCAAGAATCTCAATGAGAACTGAAATATCAACTTAAGCTCGAATCCGCTGCAAAAATTGAAGC